TGGGCTCAAAGCTCAAGGCTTAGGGGTTTAGCGTTTACAGCCCCTAATCGGGGTCCCTGAAGCATCCAAGGCTCCCCTGTGCGTTTGGAATACATACCCATTTGAGCTATAGTCTAAACTCCTAGTATCCCCTTTAATAACCCCTATAGTACTCCTATATATAATCCCCTATATAACACCCCTTTAAGGAGTTTAGACCATAGCTCAAATGGCTACAAATCACGACCCAGAACCCTCAGAACCGAGGGAGCCTTGTTGAGCGATTTTTTTTCATGTTTCTGCGCCCCAATTGTTAACGAGGAGCCACCCAATTCCAAAGATGTCATTATTCTATGCACTTAGCTATGGTCCCTTCTGAGGGGTCCGTGTATGCAGGATTCGAATAATCAATTTGCAAGGCTATAATAGACGCCATTTTGGATTTTTCTGATTCACAAACTAAACCACTAAACCCTAAACCCTAAACCCTAGACTACCACCATTTGGGGGGAGGTCCGGGGTGATGTCTTTGCAACTTGCTCCGCAGTCCTGTTCTCATTCTGTGGGCCAGATACCCAAGCCTACTGTACTTTGAACTCCAAAACAAAACCCAAATCGCCGAATTATAAACTAAATACAAGAGAACCTTATTTATGATTAAGTGGGATAACCCCCAATCAAGCCACTTTGGGTGAGTACAAGTAGGCTTAACGCCCCAGTCCAGTCCCATGAAGCTCTAGATGCACCCTAAATCCTAAACCCTAAGCCCTTAATCCTAAACCCTCAAAACATAAGCCCTAGATCCAACCCAAACCCTTAACCCTAAATCCTAAACCCTAAGCCCTTAATCCTAAACCCTTACTCATAGACCCTAGATCCCAAACCCAAACCCTTATATAACCCTAAATCCTAAACCCCAAGCCCTAATTTCAATCCTTCGCCTCACCCTCATACCAGGCCTCGCCAGCAAAATGCTGCTAAGCTTCAGGATTTTGAGCTTGGGGTTTAGGATTTAGGGTTGCGGTTTAGGGTTTAGGGTTTAGGGTTTTAGGGTTTTAGGGTTTAGGATTTAGGGTTGAGGTTTTAGGGCAACCGGTGTACCCAGGAAAACAGGTTTGCGCAAAATAGGTTGGTATCTTTGGCTTTTCCTTGAAGGTCTACTCGACGTCTCATCGGACTTTGTAACTACTTCTAACAGGGCCTTTAGCCCTGGTTACAATCCCCCTGGCTGGACTTAGGCAGGTTACCCCAATTATAGGAAGAGTTATAATGCCAAGTATCAGTAGTTACGAAGTCCCGTGAACCTTCAAGTAGGGTTTCAAGGTAGACCCCTAGACCCGGCCCCACATCCATCATGCTTTTGAGAAACTCTCTTCCCCAATAACCAGGGCTAAAAGTTTAAACATTATTATAGAGATCCAAAAAGGAAGCCCAAAAAGGTTAAAGTTCTTCTATCGGCTACGTAAGGAAACCTCCCACCCGCGCCTCACAGTGCCCAAACCCCAGACCAGATCGAACCCTACACCCTAAACCCTGCACCCTGCACCACAAACCCTACCTAAATCCTGAACCCGAAATCCGAAACCTGAAACCTACATCATAAGCGAAACCCTTGACCCGAAATCCTAAATCCAAAACCCTATTATCTAACCCATATTGCCGAGAACCTCCCCGACAAACCCCCAGAACCCACTCTTTTTACCAAACCTCAAACCTTAAATCCTACCAAGAAAACCTAATTCTCCAAAACCATGGTATACTTGTAGGGTTTAGGGTTTACGGTTTAGGGGTGGTAAGACCTTATGGGTAAATACCCTAAACCCTAAAGCGCAATTGTGGGCTAATGGCTTTCTGAGGATACCTCGGCTGCCAAACAACGAGGGTTTAGGATTTCAGGGTGCCCAAAAACAACCGAATCCTAGGTAAGGGGTTTAGGGGCTTAGGGTTTGGGGGTTTAGGGGTTTAGGGGTTTAGAGGTAAGGATCCTAATCTACAAAACCTCGCTGTTAAGGAACCACGGCTCTGTTTTTGCTTGGGTTTAGGGTTTAGGGCTTGCCGAAGCACACCCTAATCCTGAAACATCCCTATGCAGATCCAATAATCCCTATATAACCTCCTGAACTCCATATACTCCCCATCAAAAAAAACATATGTATAGAGAATGGAGTCTGCTATGGTGCCTCTTAGAAGTGCGCATAATCCTAGGATTTGCTATGGAGCCTGCATAAATTCAGCAATACATACCATAACTATATGGGTTATATGAAAACACGACTTATATGTGCATAATCCTGGAATTTGCTATGGAGCCTGCGTTAATTCAGCATATGCATAAGCAAATGCAGACCATAACTACATGTAAACCCTGCAAGACCTCAACGAACACAATATGCAAACATGCAGGCCCCATGAAAAATAATTCTGTGTGTATAACTCCTATAACACCCCCTAAATCCCCCGTATTCCCCGACATACCGCAGGTGGCACCCAAAACCCTGAACCCTAAACCTTTTACATCCCTGTAAAACCCTAAACCCTGGACCCAAAAACCCTAAACCCTAAACTCCTAAACCCTAAATCCTGCAACCCTAAGCCCTAAACCCCAATAAACCCCAAACCCTAAAACCCTAAACCCAGAAAAACCCTACAGCTCAAAGCCTATAACCCCCCAGGCACAGGTGGAATAGGTCGTCTTCATCTGGCTGGTAGACACGCCCTCGCCGCGCTCGATGAGCAGAAGCGAGATGCCTTTGGCAGCTTAGGGTTTAAGGGTTATATTGGGGTTATATAAGGATTACAGGGCAATATTGGGATTATTTAGGGTTTAGGGTTTATATAAGGGTTATATAGGGTTTATATAGGGGTTAAAAGAGGATAAAGGAAAGAAAATGGAAACTACTATTTAGGGTTTAGGGTTTAGGGTTTCGGGTTTATATAGGGGTTATATAGGGTTTATATAGAGGTTATATGGGGATCAAGGAAAGAAAATGGAAACTACTATTTAGGGTTGAGGGTTTAGGATTCAGGGTTTAGGAGTTCAGACAGTTTGGGCTTAGGGTGTAGGATCTAAGGTTTATGTTTTGGGATGTGGGATAAAGGGCGTTGGGTTTAGTATTTATGGTTTAGGATTTGAGGTTAAGGAGTAAGGGCTTTGGGGTTTCATTTTATGGTGTAGAAATCAATGGTTAGCGTTTATCAGCAAAGGCTTTGGGTCCAGGGTGTCAGAATTAGGATTAGGGTTCAGGGTTTAGACCCTAAACCCTAAAACCCAAGGCTTTAGGGTTTAGGATTTACAGTCCCCCTTAAGTAGATAGAATATGGGGTATATGGTATATGGGGATCTTATTATAATATACCCAAAGCCATATTCGAACTACTCAAAGGGGGACTATAACCCTAAACCCTAAACCCCATATTCTATCTACTTCAGGGTCTGGGATGGACTGTTTCGGGCTGAGCGAGATGCCTAGCAGTTCACAGGCCAAGGCGTTCTTGTCGGCACTCTTCTCACATGTTGGGGTTTAGGGGTTTAGGGTTTAGGGTTTTAGGGTTTAGGCTTTAGGGTTGTAGGGTTTAGGGTTATCATTTTTGAAGTTAGGGTTCAGAGTTTAGGTAATATTATTTGTGGTATTCGCATTATCACTATTACTATATCATGGTTCTAGCTGCTAAGAATCATCCTGTCGTTTTCTCACTATGGGCATGATTCCGATTATCAAATATTAGCGCTATGGCTGGTACGATTGTTGATAAATACCCTCTTTGTATATCAAATTTCTTGCCCGCGCTATTAGTACATGTTATCTGTTTGGCTATTGTTGTTGACACTATGGGATCCTTAAAAAGAGGCTCAGGGGTCAGCTGTTAAGCGCTCAACGTTCATTGCAAGATCCTCAGTAGAAGAGTCTAAAGGACTTTTTAAGCAAGACTCCCATGCATCCTTCCACCCGGATCAACCACGAACTACCGTGGAACATATAAACCGTAAACCCTCGTACTCCAAAACCTTGACCTAAAAACTGCTACCCCAAAACCTAAGTTAGGGTAGGTTCGGGGGCCTGTGAACGTTAGACATTACGGCATAATGAAGGTTGCATCTGGAGTAAGGATCATGAAAATTCGAGAATCCCTAGACCTAGCCTGACCTCCAAAGACAGCAACTGATAGCACGTTTCTTGGACCCCAAAGTATGTAGTAATATCTATGAACCTAAGGGATCCATGTGACTCAATGCAGATATTATTCATGGAAATGGAACCCCAGGATTTTGTTTTCACTTTATGGTCCCCTGAAGCGACATCTCCTGCATAAACTCATCAAAATTTCCACAGAACACATGCACTCACCAAAGCTTAAAGTCATATCTACCTCATATGCTGCGGCGGGAGTATAAGTCCTGCCTGTAATCTGCATACTGTAGTGGCGTACTAATTGCCGATATCATGTTGAGGTCTCTTTGGGGTACCCATTGCCATAAATATACAAAGAATCTAGGACCTGGGACCGTGATATTGCCAAAAATATTTCAGCCCCTATAATACTATCATTACGCATCTTTTTGCGCGGCAAATGCAAGCTGCTGCTGTAACTTTGTTTCTGTGCTTCTGTAGCATCTCAAGAAGAAGAAGATTGCAAAAGGCGCGCGATATTGCGGCAGCCATTCTTCTTGGCTATCGACAGCGGGGTCGTTCCTGAGCTGTTGGCTTTGTTCTTGTCAGCCTTGGCATCTACCAGCAAGCGGGCGACTTCAAGATGGCCGTCGCAAGACGCAGCATAAAGAGGAGTTTCGCCATTCGCCTTAGCTGAATAAACGGCCCCTCATGAAAACCATGCTACTTTAGCCACCCTCGTGTAGGCTCTAAAAGACCTAAAGAGTTAACCTTTTCAGCCAGGCTAACGCCAGCTGGGGTGCGTCAGGCTTGTCCATGTCAGCCTTGGCTCTCAGCAGCAGGCGGACGACTTCCACTTTACCACAGTCACAAGCCCAAATCATTGGAGTTCCACCGGTAGAGTCGGTGGCGTCAATGTCTGCGCACGCTTCCAGCAACAGATGGAGAACTCTTATGAGACCACGGGAAGCTGCGTAAGACAAAAGGGGTCCTACCCCCCACTTCCAGGTCTGGATCTTGTGGTCGTTGCAGGAGCTCTTCCATCATGTGCATGTCCTTCCGCTCTACAGCATCCCAGAGTTCTTCGACTTGCTGCCCAGAGCTCCTCTAGGGCAGATTTGGGGGCCCTGGAGGGGTTATAGAACTAGGGATTAATTAAGAGTAACAAGAATCAAGTGTGATAGGATCCACGAAGCCGAATGCAGACATGTGACATGTACGTCGTGAAGATAAGAGGCCCCACGCTTGATGCGAATCAACGAGCTTAGGTTCTCTCCTCTCTCCCCCCTCCTTTTTCCTCCTCTCCTCCTTTCCTCCCCTCTCATGCTCAACAGCAGCGCCATCTGCGCAAGCTCGCACTGCCTTCATGGCTGCGCGGCCCCCGCCCACCAGGGGCAGGAACCTGGTTGCTGTTAAGGAACTTAATTCAAGTTACTATATTGGGGAAACCCTATTATTTACTATATATACCCATTATCGTACCTTAATTTAAGTTCCTTAACAGCAACCCACGAACTGGGTGCCTTTCGGCCTGGCGCTGCGCAGCTCCCAACGAAGCTACGCGACCCCCAAAGCAAAGACAGCTACCTTGGGATAATGGAAAAGAAAATGGAAACTACAGGAATTATAGGGGCTATATTGGGGCTATATAGGGATAATGGAAAAGAAAATGGAAACTGCTATAGGGGTTAGGGTTTCGGGATCGCGACCCCCACGGTCCCTATGCCTGTGACTGTTTACACTTTGACATGCTGCAAGATGAGGACGCTCCAAAAGGACCGTTGCGAGGAGGCGACTCTGACACGCTCCATCCTTGTGACTGTTCACACTTTTGACGCGCGACAAGAAGACCAGGCTTCGAAAGCGATGACAGTTCCGAGGTCACGTCCCATCCAGGTGACTGCTGACACTTTTGACACGCCAACGCCCAAAAGTGATGGCAGCTACAGGGATCGCACCCTCAGCGCCTCCAATCCGAGTGCGACACATGCGAACGCTTTGCGGCCGCTTTGCAGACGCTTCATGGACACAAAGGCAACGATCACCGCCTGGGCCCGTGGACCCCAACCTGAACAACGGGCACCCTTCCCCTTAGGGCTCCATGTCTATAAACAATACCTACATTGGGCCCCAAAGTCTAGAAATATGACCTACATTGGGCTATTTGGAGCCTCAGGGTTCTGCAGAGCATTCCAGAAAAGGATTGAAGCCTACCCTGGTCCTGCTGAAGGGTAAAAAGACCAGCTGGACGTCCGCCGGCTCGTTCAGCGCAGCCTCGTCCGGCAGGATCTGGCCGTCTGGAAGCAGCAGTCGCTGTCTAAACCTCGAGTACCCGCACAGACGCTGAACTTCGCGCTTGAGGTCTCCTGGGTTGCTGTTAAGGAACTTAACTTAAACCCTATATTCCCCCCAGTTTCCATTTCATTTTCCATTTGATTCTCCATTATAGGGGGATAATCCCTTAATTTAAGTTCCTTAACAGCAACCCAGTCTCGCCCCAGGATGGGCTCTGCCAAGCGAACTGCAAGCACTTCCTCACCGGAAGCTTTGAACACTCGGAGCATCCTCGCTCAATCGCTGTCCACTATGGGCTATTAGACCTTTAGGGTACCTTAATCTACCCTTAATAGGGTCCTAATAGGGAATTTTAGGGTCTAATAGCCCATGGTGGGTGAGGGATGGAAAGAGGCATTTTTGAGCAGCCGCTGGCGAGAATCCGGCGGTCATGCAGCAGGCGTCACCCTAATGAGAGTTGAGCGTTTCGGGCTTGATTAGGATTTAAAGGCTAGGGTGTAGGATTTGGGGTTTTCGGGATTTCAAGTGTCTGTCTGCACCTTAATAGCTGCTGAAGGGCGAGGTAGATTTAGAAAACAAGAATGCAGAAACAGAAGGTTTCTTTGAACACACACGAATTCTAGGAATCGATACCATAATCTTGGAATGTTCCTGTGGCTTCTACATTACTACCCTTTGCACGACTGGCAGGCCAGCCTTTGTTTCCGGGACCCCCGGTGCGGACGGCGGTCACGAAGTAATCCGAGTAGGCTCCTCGTCATAGGGATGCGGTTTGGGGCTTACCTGGGCCCTCCAATGTAGTTCCTTTTTGGGTTTTGTATGGATTTTTGGATAGGATTCTTATTAGGACTACCAAAAAGGTACTACATTGGAGGTAGGGTTTAGGGTAGGACCCTAAACCAAACGGAAGGCGAAACCCCAACAAAATCAAGGTCTTAGATTGCAGGAGCCTGGAACTCCTCATGATGGTTGGTGACCGTTAGGGTCTTGCAGCGCGAGGGTCATCAACGATTTTGCGTCTCAATTTTGAGTTGCGTGGCCCCTCCCCCCCACCAAATCCTACACCCTTTACCCTGAACCCAAAGCCGAAAACCTCAACCCCAAAAACCTATACTTCTTCGAAGCCTAAGCCCTGTCATTAGGATGCTGTGCTCTGAGCTCGGAAGCCCCTCGCTAGTGGGTTTCGAGAGGAAGGTTGACGACTTTGGGTTTTGGGTTTAGGCTTTAGGTCTTTAGGGCTGGGCTTTAGGGTTTACGGGGTTTAGGGTTTGGGGATTAAGGATTTATGTAGGGTTGAGGGGTTTAGGGTTTATAGGGTTTAGGGATAAAGTTCTTTAGGGTTTAGGGTCCATGATTGAAGGTTCAGGGGTCAGGGTTTAGGTATAGGGCTTGCTAAGCTCCTTCCTTCAGGAAGTTGGTGTGTGTGTATATATATTAATATATATATTACTGGGGGGGGAAAGGGACTAAACTCAAAGTCCAACGCTCTCAGTGAGGTTTCGGGTGTAGGGGAATTTCTCGAAATTGGGGGGTCCCTCTTTGGGAGGGGCCCCTATATATGACCCTAATAAAACCCTAAGCCCTTACCCTTAGGGTTTAGAGTTTAGTGTCGTGCCATAAAACAGCCCCCAGAATAGCCCGGATCTGTATATAGAATTAGGACAATCTTCAGCACAGGCATCTAAGCGATGGTTAATCAAACCCTGGACCGTAGACCACAAAACCTTGAAACCCATAGCCGTAAAGACTGAAACCCTCAAAACCCTAAGCACAAGAGCCCGGAGCCCTGAACAGAATATCCTAAAGCGCTACAACCTGTTACTGGGTTGCTGATCAGGAACTTAAATTAAGTTACTATATTGTGGAACCCCATCATTAACTACATGTACCCATTATGGTAACTTAATTTAAGTTCCTTAACAGCAACCCAGGTTAGTGCAGCGTGGCTCCTTCTGTAATCCACTTCTTGACTCCGTTAACCTGGGACGTCTTCAAGTTCGAGCTAGTTGGGGGAATCCCATGGCTCCATGGAGGGCTTAGGGTTTAGGGT